AGAACGACCTTCCTCTTATTCAACGCCTTCGGAACAACCTCCCCTTTCACGCATGGAGATCCAACTACCTTATTCAACCTTACCTACACATGTTGTTATGACCTCTGATCAACGATCTCAGTCTGATATCACTTGGTATGGCTCCGTTCCTGCTGAGTTAACGAAGCCTACAGATCCTCGACAGTCTTGGCCGAGTCAAAATCCTCATTATAATATACGATACGATTGGCCACAGCATTCGATGCATCCGCAATCTACATGGCTTCCTCGTCCTTCTCGATATTTAAACGTTCAAAATAACGATTGGCGTCCACGTTCGCAAAATGATGATAAAGCTTCTCCGTGGCCTGTTGATAATTGGGAATTACGTCCATCTAATGTCTCTACTACTAATCAATCAAATAAGTCTGATCTTGTTCCTTCATCTAAGAGTAACGATTGGCAAAGTGAAGATAGGTCTTCTCCTTGGGGACAGGCCGAAAATTGGGAATTGCGATCATCTAATGTCTCTAATTCTGTTCAATCTGATTTGTCTTCTCCTCAAAATAACAATTGGCGATCGCATTCACCAAATATTAATGGGTCTTCTCATTGGCAACCTGTAAAAAATTGGGAATTACAATCATCACCTAATATCTCCAATCCTCAATTATCTGATATGATTGTACCATTTCAAAATAAAGATTGGCAACTACATTCTCAAAATTTTAATGGTTCTTCTTCGTGGCAACAAGTTAAAACCTTACAATTTCAACCACCAAAACTAAATTTGATTCAAAATGATGAATGGCATTCATATTCTCCAAATGATGATATGTCCTCTCCTTGGAAACTACCTGAAGGCCTGGAAGTAAGATCGTTAAACGTTACTAGTTCTATGCAATCCGATATTGTTACACCTTCGAAAAGAAAGTCTGTTCAAAAAGGTGTTTCAATGATAGTAAAAAAGCCTAATATAAAAGTAAAATCTAGCGTTAAACATGCTTTTAAAGACTTGAACTCTTTAAAAATTCCTTTAAAGGAAGCAGTCGAAGATAACGCTCCACATAACGCTCCACTCTTTATCTTTACGGAAGAACAAGCTACTACATCTAAAAGTGAGACTTTTGTAAAAACGAACGATTTGTTAAATAATGCTAGTTCTTCAATGGTTCTAACTCCCCCCGCACAACAAACGGACGCATCACAATCTTTACATGCTGATTTTGTTACCACAGCGAAAAGAAAACGTAGTCAAAATAAAGACCTAAAATCAGGAGAAAATTTTAATGTAAAATCTAACTGGAAAGACGTAAATAATTTGAAACCCTCTCCTAGTATCCTAGTTCTGAAAAAACCTGATGTGAACAAGGAAACTTCACATAAAGTTGAAGAAAAATTTGTTAATAATAATGACTCAGCTTTTATGATTCGCGAAGAACAGACTATACAAGCTTGTTCGGACTCGCAACAAATCGAGGAAGAATCGCGACCAGCACAAGCCGATTTGGATTTAAGAAAAGTTGAAGAAGAATTAAAACTCGTGCAATTCGATTTGGACTTAAAAGTTGAAGAATTAAAACCCGTACAAATCGATTTGAACTCAAAAAAAGTTGAAGAAGAATCAAAACCCGTACAAGTCGATTTGGCTTCACCAACGAAAAGAAGTTTGAGCCCAAAAAACAGCTCGAAACCGGGACGTAAGCCAGGTGCAAAACATAATCGAAAAGATCAAAAATCTCTGATAACTGCTCAAATTAAAAATAGTGTAAGAGTAACGTCACGTAAAGGCAAAGAAAAGGTGGTTGATAATGCACCGGTAGTTAGGTCAACTGAAGAACAAGCATCTACTTCTAATGGGTTCGAGTCAACGTCAACAAATATTTCATTAAATGGTAGAGCTGGATCTTCTACTGATGCGTCTAGAATACAATCAATGCCCATGACAAAGGCGGCAGAATCCTTATTCAATTTTTATCAATCTCTAAAACCACCATCGCCAGAACTAACAAGAGAACAAATGTTGCGACTTGGAACATACATTTTTGATGAACTTTTGTCGACATCATACGCTCGCCCGTTTGTAAATCCCGAAGCAGAAGATGCATATTATTATAGGTCAATAATTAAAGATTTGATGGACTTAAACACAGCAGAACGTAAACTTTGGGCTAGATGTTATTCTTCTCCATTAGACTTATATAAAGACATTTGTCAAATCA